GCTCGAGCAAGCGCTCTCCACTCAAGGTGTTCACAGCAACTGATAGGAACTCATATGGGGAAATTATAGAAAAGAAATAATAAGATAAAGAGAATAAATTTCAACGCACCTCAATAAACGGAGCCCCACATACAGTACCTCAGAAAAGTGGATCTTCCGACCAGTGTTTTTGTTGACGTCGCAATCAGATGATGTAGCTGCTTCGCAGAGACGTTTTACTGTCCAAATTACAAATAAATTGTATTCTTCGATCAGAAAACCCAAGCGCTTTCAGAGCCCTCCGAAGAGAGTCCGGGATGAAACCACGCACACCTACCTCAACCGAAAAAGAAACGACCTGCCACCCGTTTGCTCGGCATTGATCGGCCAGATCCGCATAATTTAACCGCCTGTCCTTCCGCGAGTTACTGACACTGAATCTGTCCTCAGCACAAACTGTCAACTCCATCCAGAACACAATCCTACGACTCGTAGAGTACAGAACTATTTCTGGTCTTAGGGTGGTAAGTGTAACACAGCTAGGGAAAGAAATCTTTGCACTAACTGATTCGACAAGAAGTTTCCAGTCTGAGGCCGCTGACAGGAGATCAGTCGTAACCAACTTTCGTCTGGGCTTAACGCGAACTGGCTTCTCTCTCGCCTTGCAAAACGAGATGAAGTCAAGCTCATTTGAATTTTCGGTTTGTACGGTGTTTGCGGCAGTGCGGATTTGAATCTCCTCATGCATGTTCCTGACGATGACCCCGAGTACGTTGTCGTGCCTCCAGGTGTAACGTCCCTGGTCCAGCGCTACGCGGCAAGCGCCAAGCACGTGGCGCGTAGTACAGGCCCAGGTACGGCACAAACTACAGTACGGATCCACTATGGTGTTTCCCCAACGGCGTAGGTTCGTCGAAGAAGGTAGCACGTCGAGGGTTGATGCGAGAAAAAATTTCAAATCCTTACCAGTACCACCGTACAAAAGGGATTTCCACGAGAGGTCCTGCCACATCACCGATGTCCACTCCAACCACTTGCCTTGCACCAGAAGAGTCTTCAGCCTCAAAATCTGCTCCTGCGCGTTGATCTCCTCAAATGTTTGAAGGAGATCCTTCCTCGGGGGTTTGGAATGCTGCTTCGGAGCACGAGCACCCAACCCTGCACGATGACTTGAAGATGACGGTGGACGGAGAGTCCTGAATCTACTGATGCCTCTGCACACTCCAGCTCTATTGTCGCCGCATATCGCTTTGTCAGCTTCGCATCCTTACTCCGACGCAGAGTGTACAGCGCCCTCATGCGCGCGTCCCCACTCGATCGAAGAATGTGCCATTTGATGGACTGGCACTTTTTCCACACCGTAGGAAGGTAGTGGAGGCGTAAGCCAAAGCGTTTGCGACTGCCAACAAAAAGAATGGCAGAGTTTGCGCATCGAGGTAGGCCTGACCATTTCTTCAGAAATGGTAAACACATAAAGTGCAGTTCACGTACAAAACCTTGTGTGAGTTCAAGAACCTGGAAAGACCAAGAAAGCTTGGGCACTACAAGATGGTGGTAAGCCATAGCTTGTGGTGGTCTTGAAGCCAAGAGCAATCTACTTTTTGCATGAGAGATACAGTGAGTTGGCGGATGTCTTCCCGCTGGGTCTGCTCAGAGTAATCAGCATGCAGCCTTCGCCCCAGGAACTTGAACTCTGCAGTGTCAATGAAAGCGATCTTCCTCCCTGACATCGTCAAGCAGGGATCGTAAGGTTTGTACCGGCCATCTACAAGCTTTGCTGCACTGCTTTTGCATTTGTGCGGCGCCGCCTGCATACATTGGGTCCACGAGAGAAAGTCCTCCGTGACCGCAATGAGTTTTTGACAACCTGCACTAGATTTGCTATAGAGGCCTAAGTCATCAGCAAAAGCTGTTTGGGACACTTGCAAAGGGGCAGATTTAAAATCATAGGAGAGGCAACTTAATTCAGGGGCTGCAAGTGAGTCCAGCAGAAGCTGGAAACAAATATTGAAAAGGACCGGGGACAAGGGGCACCCCTGAAAAACACCAATTTTGTAATTAAAGGTGGGAGTGTGTGGTTGTACGGCGAAAGCGCAAAGACTGTCGTAGTAGGAAAAAATTAATTTCCGGAATTGCAAAGGAAGGCTGTAGCGGGCTAGAGCATACTGTATCAGATTGTGGCGCACTGAACCAAATGCATTCTTCAAATCTATCCACGCAATGCAAAATTGGCGTTTTGCCGTCTTTGCATCACGCATCGCCTCATAACAAAGTGATGTATGCTCTAAGCACCCAGCCTTTGCAGGCATAAATCCTTTCTAGTTGTCACCATCGAAGAACTTATTGCCTAGCATATGTTTCAAGAGGCGCTTTGCAACTAAGGTGAAAAAGATCTTCCCGGACGTGTTTGCTAGAGCAATAGGTCGGAATTACGAAGGATCATCAGACACCTCGCCCTTGGCCAGGAGTGTGAAACACGCTACCTGCCACTGCCTTGAAATGATCTTGCTCTCCCAAACCCGCCCAAAGATGGTGAAAAGAATGGATTGAAGGGAGGGACAAAGCTTCCAAACTATGTAAGGTATCTTGTCAGGACCCGGTGCAGAGGTGTTGCGACACTTCTTCAAAACATTCTGAAATTCAGTCCATGTAGGGGTCCCCTCATCGACTGGGTGGGTGCAATCCCGGGGCTTCCCTGCACTGGGGCAGGATTCGTACGAAGTGGCACGATCCTGGTCTGCATATGTGTGGAGAAAGAGAGAGAGAGAGAGAGAGAGAGAGAGAGAGAGAGAGAGATTGACAGACAAAGAGAGAGAGAGAGAGACAAAGACAGAGAAAGAGAGAGAGAGAAAGACAGAGAGAGACAGAGAGAGACAGAGAGACAGAGAGACTAAGAAAGACTAAGAGAGAGAGAAAGAGAAAGAGAGAGAAAGAGAAAGAGAGAGAAAGAGAAAGAGAGAGAGAGAGAAAGAGAGAGAGAGAGAAAGAGAGA